ATAGGAAAAACAATAGCATGTCTGTGTGCTGATAAGCATGATCTTTGAAAGAGGGCTACATATGATGCAGAAGAAAAAGGGGAGATTTTGTAGAAGAATATCCTTAAGTAGACAAGAGTATACAGGACCTAGTGGAACAAATGTTGGGTATTCCACGTGTTGGGTGCAGCCAATTCATCCGTAGCAACAAGAGGTCATTTGGGCATGAATGCAAGTATGATGAGTGCTGTGGTACAAAGGTATGTTGTGTGTGTGGTAATTCTATTCTGATAGCTTCCTTTTTCCATATGAATATGTAGCAAGTTCATCGAAGGAAGGGGATGATGAGGGGACTTCTCATGGGGAGAAAGTCAGATAGTCCTCTAGGAAACTGGCAGATGAATTGACCAGAAAAGTAACATGTGATTTCTAGAAAGCAAGAAGGAGCTACTTGCAGTTAGTGATCATGAACTTGAAGTGAAATCCCTAAGTATTATTTTGTGATTTCTTTAGCCATGCAGCTGTATATTTGCAGGTGTAGGGGAGGACAGAGAGTTGGATTTAACCAGGATTGGGATTTATCCAACATTGTGTGATGAGAGAGGCCAACTGAATGACCGACCATGGAGTTGAAGCTGGGTAGGAAGGGAAGTGAGGACATGAAGGAAGTGGGAGACAGTGAGAAGGTGGAAGGAGCAACCACAGGAAGGTGGTTGGAGGGCGGTACTAGTTGGGCTGAACTACAAAGACAGCAGCAGTGATTGGAGGTGGTGGTGCCTGAAACCAAGACTGTGGAGTTAGTTTTTGAAAATGGTAAGATCAGAGATACGACATTGGGGGTGAGTGGCTAAAGTCGCCATCTTTGGAGGAGAGGAGAACGAAGAACTGAGGGACCAGGGGATTAGAATGGTTCTGAATGTGGATGTTGATATCCCCAAAGGCAGGGCGGAAATAGCGTGGGGAGGATTATAGTGAGCCAGGTGCGAAGATCCTCAAGGAATGAAGAAGAGTGTCCTGGTGGAGGGGGGATGACTTCACCAAGGCAGGTGGCGGGCGGCGTCTTTTGCACGGGGTTGTGTAAGGATGAAATGAGCTGGTGCATGTGAGGTTCTCAGCACTGAGCACAGGCTCTTCGTGTCTCAGTGCTTAACCCACTGGATTTATTTTTACAGGGCGGGGGGGGGGTGGATTTCTCTTCATTTTAAGACCTTCTAAGGGGCAGAGCTGTTCACATGGCTCTGTGTGCCCCCGGGAGATGATAAATTCCTTGTCACTCAGTGTACCCAATAGACGAACATCTGCAGCGACAGGGCTGCCAAGGGGATTCTAGCAACCAAAGGTGATGGATGGGTGGGTGAGTGAGTGTGGGTGTAGCAGTTGAAGGACATGGGGGATGGGGAGGTGGTATCAGAGCTAGCTTCATTCTGTCATTCAGATGTGACCGAGCATGTCCCTCTTCTGGCTTAGAACCTGGCTAGATGTAGCGCGGCCAGAAATAAACCTGAAAGGAACCGTCAGTCTGGGTGGGATATCCCATCTGCAAGCAGATAAATGTCACACAGTGTCCCGAGAGCCAGAACGGGCACAGTGGGGTCGCGTCGACCTCCGTGGAGTCAAGAAAGTGTTCAGAGCCCAGGGGCGCTTAAGCCGGTGCTGGGGACGGTGTGGGTGCTGAGTGGGTGTGACCCCACGTGAACAGGGTAGGAAAGGACATTTCGTCGGGAGGAATTTCCTTGCAGGGCAGCAAAAGATGAAAGAGCACAGGGCATCTGGAGTGCCATTATTGAGTTAATGCTGAGAAAATCACTCCTCTTCCCTATTTTAGTTTCTCTATTTGTAATTTGGGACAGTAATGGTACACACAGGGTAGGGCCTGGTGAGAAGCAAATGAAATGATGTGTATAATTTTTGTCACAAGCCCTATTGTGATCCCTTTGGGTGTATTACCTTACTTGATTATTTAAACAGTCCTACGAGATTGGCTCTTTTATTATTATTCCCATTTTACACATAAAGAAGCTGAGTCTTAGAGGATTGAGTAGCTTGCGGGAGGTCATGTAACTGGTGAGAGACAGTTTGGACTCTTGCCCCGATCTGTCTAATCCCAGAGCTCTGACCCTCAACCCTGAAGCTAGTCAGTGCTGAACACATAGCTAGTGCTAAATAAACGGTAGCTGTTATGGTCATGACTGCTCAAGTTTCTCACCTGGAGGATTGAGGACTCTGTTATAACTTCTGCAGCGGGTTGAAGTTCACCAGGGCTGCAATCTCATGAGCAGCAGTGACTGTTTCTGGAAGACTCTCATCACCTACCATAGATGTACATCAACAGTTGTGCTACTTTGTTTCAGCTAGTTGGTTTTTAGAAATCAAGAGCAGGGAGTGGTTGCTATCTCCTAGGAGGGCAAGTTGTTCTGAGCAGATGTGATTGGTAGGGGGAGGAAGATCTGCGTTAGCTGCACTCCTCTGCTATCTGGGCACTGAACTCAAACCAAAGTCGCATGCCCCAGCAGCTTACTTACTGGGCACTGAACTCAAACCAAAGTCGCACGCCCCAGCAGCTTACTTACTGGGGGATGCGAACCAGCATAAACAAGAGGCGTCATCTAAAGAGCAGCGGGCTGCCCGCGGTGTTCCTTATGAGGGTGCCAAGAAAGAACCTTTTCCATCAGTGATGCCTGAGGAAAGCACAGACCTCTTAAGAGCTGCTGATCCTTCATTCACTCCATAAATAATTATTATCTGCCACGTGCCATATACTCCTTTAGGCCCTGCAGATAGTAGCGAAGAAGGCTGACAAGCTTTCTATGGAAAGCGTTTCCATTTTTAGTAGAGGAGGCAGATGGTAATCAAATAATAATCTGAATGCCCACATAATTGCAAACTCGTGCCACAAAGACAACATCCATGACAGGGAAAGGGGTAGGGCTGTCAAGAGATATTTTCGGACTCTCCCAGGAGTCTGCCCGGGAGCTAGTGCTTTGAATGGATGAGGAGAGCCCTGAGTTTTTGACAAAGATCACCACGACACCTCTCACTTTGCCCTGTCAGACAGGCCCAGGGCCCGCCCACACCTGCCCACCTGCCAGTCTGAACCCCAGGCCTGCCGGGCGGGGGCCTCTCCCTCGGTCGTGGGCGGGAGCCAGCTGTGGCCGCCGTGGCTTCCTCTGCGCTCTGTGAATGCTGCATCTCTTAGGACGGGCTTGGAGACCAGCCCGACAGTGGGTATGGAGTTGATACACAAGGTCTTTTCAATATTGTCCCTAACAGTTTCGCCTTCATTACTCCACTAACGTAAGGAGCACAATAAAGGAAGTCAGACTGAGAGATGAGAAGTCCTCTCTCAGCTTGTTCCTCAACTGTTTTCAGGTCTCTATCACAGACATTTTTTCTAGATATTTGGACTTGAGTAACTTTTCGTCACAATGATGTGTGCACAGATAACGTTCTCTGTTTCACTTTTTTTGTTTTCATATTTGAAGAATTTTCCCCCCGATTGCTACATAAATTCACACACAATTATTTATATATGTTATTACCTTATATATTTTAAATTAATTAATATTGTTATGTGTGTGTGTGTGTGTGTGTGTGTGTATATATATATATATATTCTCTCTATCAGGTGGATGTACCCTAGTTTAAGTATTTCCCTTTTGCTGAAGCCTTAGTTGTTAGCCGTAGATTTTCACCATTAGAAATCTCCCAACTGAAAACTACTTTTCTTCATGCACGTACATATTGCTTTATAAAACTCATTCTTTATCCCACTGATCTTCCTCCAAACCCCACCACAACTGTGAAAGGTCGGGAGTCCTTTATGTGCAAAGACACCGAGATACATCCTGTTTTTCTCCTTTCAATTATTTATTGTCTTATTTCCTGCAAGTCAAAAGCTCTTAATTCTATGACCTGGTTACTTTCTAAAAAGGTTAAGTTAATTTCTACTTGCTCTCTCAAAATATACCAATTGTATTATAACCAGGGCAGTAATGAGTATTATCATTTTGAAAACTGCTGCCTCAGGTAAATTCTATAAACCGGCATCTTAACATGCCAGTTGTCCTATTTGGGCTTCTCTTAAGATTCACCATAATTTTATATGCCTGTTAATTATGTTTTCAATTTTGTGATTTGTCCATTCACGAGGGGCCTGTTTATTTTGAGAAGCTTTGACTCTCTTTAGCCTTTGTGCAGCTGGACTCTTTTTGTCCTTTTAATTACATCATTTTCTTGGAGACAAGTGGGAGTTTGTCTCCTTGCAAGTGACTCTATCAAAGTTTTCTTTTACTATTTTTCTACATTCCATCAGAAGAGCTGACAAACATAGAATTCTGTTTTCAGCTTTCTAAAATTATATTTTTATAATCTTTTTTCCAACACTAAGAGTAATGCGTATACATTTTAGAAATTTTGGAATATACAAGAAACTGTAAAACATGAAAACATTCATTATTTTACCATCCAGGCTTACCTTATTTTGTTTTGTTTCTAGTCTTTTCTCTTTTTTACATGTACATTGAAGAAAAAAATTTTTGGATTTGATTAGAATATTATATACAACTATATACAACTTTTGCAACTTATTTTTTTTCCAGTTAGCATTATACTGATTGAAATCTCACATATCATAAAGTGTTCTTTGATAATAAATAATTGTCTAGAGTGTATTCAGGGACGATCTGAATCTTCTCTCCCCAAATTACTATTTGTGTAACCAGTGACTGAACAATCCTTTCTTCCTAGATTGGTCTGTGGTGCCTGCTTTATCCTTCTAGCATGTTCTTATCTAGTATCAGGCTATTTCTATGCCTTCTCTGCTATTCACGACCCTGAGCACAGCACCTATAATGGGCTCTTGTCTCTGTGTTTCTTTTTCTGAGCTCTCCAGGCTTCCTGGATTGAGCTGTAGTGGAGGCCAGGAAACTTGCAGAGGGGCCTGTCTGCCTTGTTAATCTTTAACCCTGCCCCTGCTGGAAACCAGCTCTTACCTCTTCTTTGTTTTTTTTTTTTTTTTTTTTGGCCTTTGCAGATGTTTTTTGGTCATCCGGAGAAAAATGAGCCTTGGCCTCTAGACCCAATAAAGCAAACATTCCTCCCATGGAGACTAGCACTGGTTCCTAAGGACCTGAAGGGCCTGCAGCCCCAGGGGGATTAGCCAAAAGCAGGTAAGGAATACCTGGAGGCATGGGCTATGGGGGCAGCGAAAGGGTACATTCCTAATTAAAAAATGGGGCGGTAGAGTGTGCTGGCCAGGAGTCACAGAGTCTCGAGGTCTGACTACAGCTTCGCTGTTGTCTTCACGTATTTGTTTAGTTCTGATTCAGTGAGGGGTGGGGATAGGTGGTTTCGCTGTGTCTATAAACGGGAAGTGTGAGATTTGAAGTTATTCTGTGATTCAGTCCACCCTTTTTGAGCACCTGCTTTGTTCCAAGCCCTGCCTTTGGTACTGGGCATGTAGTGATGAGTAAACCAGGGCAGGAAACTTACTTTGAAATTTTCTTTCTGTTGCTTCAGGGTTGGCTTGTTCTTTATGGGTGACAATGTAGGTGGGACTGGATTCTTCTAGAAATCCAGTGGGGGTAGTAAGGATTTATTGATACAGTCGCATCAGTTCAGTAATGCTTTATTGAAAACCCAGTCAATTTTGGGGACTGTGCTCGATGCTGGGGTTTCAGGCATGAGCCAGGAGGAGGTCCCCTCTAGCAGGGTCAGCAGGAAAAGCGAGCATTGCTAAACACTAGAAATGAAGGGGGAGCGGGTGCTCCATGGGAGGCCGGAAGCAGAAAGTTAACCCTGTCTGGTTGCCAGGCAAGTGGACGAGGGAGAGACGACAGCAGTGCAAAGGCCCAGAGGCTAAGACATCTGGAAAATCCAAAGCTTGATATGTTTTCCCAAAGAATTAGGGGAGAAAAATTTACTACTCCCTTCCTTCTGTTCGGGCTGCTTAGAGGGAACCACCTCAGTCCCTGTCTCTTTAGAGAAGTTGGAGAGGGGATAAAGGGTCTTGGAGCGCTCTGTTGTCTATGAGCAGAAGCTCCAGCCAGAGAGTGGACTTGGAGCCTCAACAGAGGGTGGTGTCAGGACACCTGGGGAGCCCCAAGGTGAGCTTTCAGATGAGTGTCCCAGGGCCATGACCTTGAAGGCTAATAAGGCTGTCTTAAAGTGGCAGGACTCTTGTGCAGGGCTCTTTGGAGGAGCTTTTCTTTTCTGGGACCCTCAACCTTGGAGTATAGGTGCTGGCAGGAAGGTGACCACCATCCCCTTCCTAGCCTTAGTTCCTACGCGGTGAATCGGGTCCCGCCTCCTTACCTCCTGTCTCATTTCACGCATATACAAGAAAAGTTAAGTCCCAACTCTTAACTGCACCACTTCCGAATCACTCGTGCAACTTTGGAGATCAAATAAATAAGTAATAAATCAATAGATATAAAACCTCAGTTTTTTCAACTATAAATGGAGCCAATACAATTTGCTCTGCTTACATGACAGGGTTATTCTGGGTCTTGTAAGGCTGTTACTGTGAAGGGGCCGCCTGAGGGGAAAACAGTGCCCGAGGGTGAGGGCTGGGGCATGCCCATGGCCAAGGGGGTTTTTCTGGGATTGCCCGGCTGATTGACTTGTTCCTGCAGAGCCCCTAATTTCTGAGTCCTGTTTGGTCAATGCTGACTTTTCACTGTCTTTTAATACAGATGCCTTTCAGTGCAAAGACCATGAACTTTTAGAGTCAGACAGACCTGGGCTGGAATCTGGTTCTGGCACTGACTACCTGTTGACCTTGGAGAAGCCCTGTAACTCTGCTAAGCCTCAGTGTTTTCATTTTCTCCAGTGGGGCTGTGGATACTATGCCATAGTGTTGCAGTGAATACGAAATCCGACATTGCAGCTAAAGTGCCTACCATTATTGTAGGCACTTTTTAAATGCTCCATTCCCTTCTTCTTGAGTTCTTTAGCTCTCATAGCCATGGGATCAGTTTTCTGACCTGCCACAAACCCCCCTCCCCCATTTCATGACCACACGTTCGAATTTTTCTCCCTCTGTGTACATTCTGTCACTTCCCACATTCCGCAGCTCAAGGCAAGCGCCTATTCTCCCCAGAGCCACCCGTTCCTGAAGTCCGGGGTGGTAAGAAGCACGATTTGGTCTGCCCGTAGATTCCAGGAATGGTCTGGATGTCACTTACATTAAAGAGTCTCAGATGAGGACGCGAGCTCGGGTTGATGAGTCATGGCCAGTGTTCCACTCTGCCATCTCTCCCTGTCCCACACTGCCTCCACATGACCTCCAGCCAAAGGGGTTACTCTCTGGTCTCTGTTCAGAACACTTCCTGTGCCTTTGGAATGACTTAGTTCAAATACCATTTCTGCTGGTCATCCCAGCACTCCGTGAGTGAGAGAGAGATTATTCTACAGAAAACCTAGGTAGAGACAGGTTTAGTGACTTGTCCAAAGTCACCAAGAATGGGGGGAGACCAGGTTTCGTGAATCCCTAGTCCAGTACTTTTACCCCTTGTCCTGGATATCCTTAGCACTGGGCTCCACAGGAAGGAACTATGGATCCCTAGTGGGTTAGCAAAACCCCAGGGGTGATTGCTTAGACTCACTACGGTAAATAAACCCAGTTATTTAAGAAAGAATTTAATGTTTTCCAGAAGATACAGACATTGTTTGAGTTCAAAGTACTTCCATCTTCCACTCAGTTATGCAATAAATTCTGGGAAAACAAAGTAGGGCTTTACCCAGATATAAAGGGGACTATGAGGCTCTATTTTTGTAAAAAAATCCATTTGCCAGGATGTTCAGCAGTTCTGTGCATGCTTATGCTGAAAAGGACATGGATTATGGAATCAAGTGCTCTTGGATTTGAACTTTAGTGCTATCGTTTACTCAGCTTTGTGATCCTAGGCACTTCTCTTAACCTCTCAGAGCCTTAGGCCGCACTAATCTATAGATACGGAGATTGTAACACCTTCCTGGCTAGTGATGGTCCGGCCTCTCTGCACAGCTCAGGGGATGCTCTTCCTACTAGACTATCACGTACATACATGGTGCCGGCTGGAGCTGTGCGTGGCGGGGCCCTGGTCTACGGAGAAATTAGGTGAAATAACATCTTACATACTTGATGCATCTTTGTTTTTATCTCCTTAATTTGTCACGTGTCTGCTGTCTTACCAAGATTTCCTCTCCTTTACCCAAGGTGAGGCAGCTTCCTGCCACTTGATAGTGCTCTTGCAGGGTACTCTGTGAAGCCGGGTGTTATGCTGTAAGCTAACCATTGGTTTTCTTCTCAAGCAGGAGTCCAACATCACAGTCCTTAGAGAGATGCGCCACAGGTCTGTGGCACTGTCTGTGGACAGAGGTCTGGCAATTTTAAAAGGATGCGGGGCCCCTTAGGATTTTAGGGAATTTGGATTCTTGTGAGGTAGACCAGTCATCCTGCTCTTCTTTTTCCTCCTGGTGTTCTCCTAGTTTTTCAAGCATGCATGTGTTCATTGAACACACAGCATAAGGCCCCAGGAGTCCAGAGGTGTGTAAGCTGTGGTTCCTGACCTCACCAAGCTCAGGGTGCAGTCAGGGAGCTACAGCAAGACAGCACAAAACTAAGAGTTAGGGTGTAAAAAGGAATGGCAGGAGAATACAGAAAGTGTTCATGGCTCGGAGAGGAAAAGGGGAGCGTCTGAGGACTGCTGTCTACATTCAAAGCCCAAACTGAGGCGGAATGTTTACTTCAAGTTGTTGCAGGCTGCAGGCCTGGTGGGAGGTAGACCAAAAGCTGGAAGTGAGTCTCCTCACTCTGAATCCATTGCCCAGCTCATCACCCCACCTCTTGCCTGTCACTACTTTTAGATTTTGTTCACATCGGTTTTTTTTGGTTTTTGGTTTTTGGTTTTTTGTTGTTTTTTTTTTTTGCCTCATCCTACCTTTTCTAGGCTTGTTTTCTGCTCAGAACAGAGTGGCTGCCCTGAACACATCTTTCATTATGATTCACACCAACCTGAAGAAAAAGTTCAGCTGCTGCGTGCTGGCCTTTCTCCTGTTTGCAGTCATCTGTGTGTGGAAGGAGAAGAAGAAAGGGAGTTACTATGATTCCCTTAAGTTGGAAACAAAGGAATTCCAGCTGTTGAGAGGTCTGGAGAAACAGGCTGTGACTTTGAGCAGCACTCAGAAGTCCCCCAGGGGCCGCCAGGCCCTCAGCAATCCCCGGGGCCCAGCCAAGGCCAAGCCTGAGGTCTCCTTCCAGGTATGGAACAAAGACAGCTCTTCCAAAAACCTCATCCCCAGGCTGCAGAAGATCTGGAGGAATTATCTGAATATGAACAAGTACAAAGTGTCCTATAAGGGGCCAGGGCCAGGTGTCAAGTTCAGCGCAGAGGCCCTGCACTGCCACCTCCGGGACCATGTGAATGTCTCCATGGTAGAGGCCACAGATTTTCCCTTCAACACCTCTGAATGGGAGGGTTTCCTGCCCAAGGAGAACATCAGGACCAAGGCTGGGCCATGGGGCAGGTGTGCAGTTGTCTCATCAGCCGGATCGCTGAAGTCCTCCCAGCTGGGCCGAGAAATAGGTGGGTTCTGGGGTGTTAGGGCTGCTCCTCTGGGGCCGGGTGTGTGGTTGGGACTGGAAAGGAGCGGCCCAAGTAGGGCTTGTGACCTAGCACAGTGGGCCCACCGCAGTGTTTTGCAGCCTTCTCACGTGACTGAGAGGTACCCTGGGGGCAGCCGAATGGGTGGGGATCCATCCAGGCTCTCGGCATCTTTATCAGTGAGAACAGCTTTGCTTTTCTCTGTTTTAAATAGTGCTCTTCTGGGGCGCCTGGGTGGCTCAGATGGTTAAGTGTCTGCCTTCAGCTCTGGTCGTGATCCCGGGATCCTGGGATGGAGCCCCGTATCGGGCTCCCTGCTCAGCGGGAAGCCTGCTTCTCCCTCTCCCCCTGCTCATGCTCTCTCTCTGTATCTCTGTGTCTCAAATGAATAAATAAAATCTTTGAAAAAGAATAGTGCTGTTCTACAGAAGATATTGTTGGAAAAGTGAGTTCTGCCACTACCAATAGGCACCACACTGGAACTGACTTTTAAAAATAATAGAAGCACTGATTTCTCCTGTCTCTTCTGGTCCTTAAACTCTGTAATTTTACTGGCTAGTTGAGGATTAATTGTCTCTCTTGGCTTTCACTACCTGAATAATTTTCAGGCTTTCTGTTTGAGGATCATTAATTAGAGTAGGAATTCTTAACTTGGGGACTGTGGACCAACTTTAGGGGGTTCACGAATCCCTAAAGCTGTGTGCAAAATCCCTGTGGATTAGGTGTGCATACAGTGTGCGTGTGTGTGCGGTAAGTCAGTCTGTACATTTTTCCAGAGAAAAAGTCCATAGCTTCCAGTCGATTATTCTCAGAGGTGTCTGTGACCCAAAAAAGGCTAAAAGTCACTGGTCAGAATATATCAACTTGCTTTTTTTTTTTTTTAATCCTTCACAGTTAACAAAGATGTAAAGTCTGTCCATGTTTGTAAACATGTGTACAACACAAAGCTTAGGGCTTTGGGCTTAGGGCTCCCTAGTTCCCTTATTTTGAGGGAATGTGTTTTCCATTATTGTGAAATGAATCAAGCTAAAGGAAGCAGAGCACAGAAAGCCTTGCTCTTCTCGCAGGCTCTGGAAGGTACTGGAGCAGGTGAGGTCATACGTCTCCTGTTTTATTCCCTTCCTGTGACTGCCAGGAAAAATGGTCTGAAACCAACCACAGGCTCTCAAAGGAAGAACAGGAGAGGAGACCCAAATTGGATTCTCTGGAGCAGGAAGAAGTGGTGAGATCACATTCTGTGCCTTCCCAAATAGGCAGCACTCACTAATAAAGGCTGCCAAGATAACCGGCCCCACCCCAACTTTTGCTTTTGCCTTTTTGGTTTCTTTTGGACTTTGTTTTCTAGAAGCTCAGTGTGACTAGTTTTTGTTCACCCATAATGGAACTAAATTCCTTTCTTTCTTCCTGATTTTTGCTCTATAACAGTAATGTTTCGAATATCCCAGGTGCTAGCGGATCCTCTTCTTCATGTAAACTCATCACTGACAGCCTGGCCAGAACTGGGTTACGGTTTCCAGCGGAGCCTGATACGTCTATGAATCGGAACTACAGTCTTGATGCACTCCATGAAAGTTTGGAGTGATGTATATACACAGTAAAATAATCTTTTTCTGTAGACTACAGTTAGAATTTCAAGTATGTATTTCCCTAGAAAGACTTTGCTCTTGAGATGTAACGAACATTGCATGTTGGAGTTCCAGTGTTCTGCCCTTTCAATAGGGCATTCCCCTGGGCATTTAGTCTAACAAATGTTTTAAGGAATTCATTCATTCTTGTATTCATTCATGGAGCTTTCAACCTTATGGAGCAGGAGCTTAGAATACAAAGGGGAAAGAGACGGGGAAGGCCCTTTGCTGAAGGCCTGGGACTATCAGGCAGCATGCCAGGCCCACGGCCTTTCCACTATACCTGGAATTTGTCCCGCTTATTGCTGACTATTGAGCGTATTGGATGGCTTCAAATTGTTTGCTCTTAAAATTGTACTGCTAACAGGGTTTTTGCGCAGATGACTTAACTGCCTAAAGGGGAAATATCCACAGCTGTGGGGCTAGACCAAAGTAAGATAAGTTTTGTGGCTCTTTTTTGTCCATTGCAAAATTGTTTACTGGAGGGATTGTAATAATGTACTGTGTCTCCAGCAGTCCCTCAAGCCAGCCAGCGGTGGGCACAGCCATTTTCAATTATTTTTGATACATGTACCCGTAAGGTATCTTAGATTGGTTTGAATTTTCATGTCAAACAATAGTGTATTTGAAAAACATTATGACCGACAGGAGTAATGCTTATCGTGCACCTGCTGTGAGCCTAGCGTGCCTTGCCTTTGAATCCTCCCAGGAATTCTGTGATGCGGGGACGATTATTGTTCCCAGTGAACTGGTGAGCTAAGTGTTGAGTCTCAGAGATCACACAGCTGGTAAATAGTGGACTGGGACTTGAAACTGGGGCTTTCGACTCCAAGGCCCACATGCTCATCGTCTCTGTTCTTGCGCCTGTGGTTTTGGCTTTATAATAAAATTTCTGGTGTGATGAATCCCTTGTCAGGTTAAAAAAAAATCCCATGATATTCTTGCTTGCTTGCTCTCCTACAGGGAAGGAGAAGCGCATTCTGAGTTGAGGCAAAAGCAAGAAGCAAAGCCTGCGTGGGGGAAAAGTGCAGAGTGTGTGGGACCCTGCAGGGTGAAGGGGGCTGAGTGAGGCCAGAAAGGTAGGCAGGGGTCAGCTCCTACAGAATGTTGACGGTCACAATCAAGACTTTGGGTTTCATTCTTTAAGCCAGGAGTCCTAGAAGGGTTTTGAGCGAGCAAGTGATGGGATCATGTGTGTTTTGGAGAGATTTCTCATTTCTCTGAACCCCCTTGTCTATGGGGACTGCTATGTAATCTCTTATTAGAGATTTTACTGCCACTTCCGGGTGAGAAGGGCCAGGCCTGTTTGAGCGGTGATCGTGGTGGTGGAAAGAACGAGTTTGATTTGAGAAGAGACAGAAATTGGTGTCTAACTAGAAATGACCTTGAGTGACAGGCGGGAGCCAGGGTTTCTAGCCTGGAAGTGGGCGATCTCATATTACAGGGGAGCATGCTTCTGGAGGAGTACAGGTGCTGTGTCAGAGGTGCTGAATCTCAAGTATTTGTGGATTTCCCTGATTAGATGTCTATGCAGTTGGGTATTTGATTCCAGGGAAGGGTCAGGCGGGAGGAGATGAGATTGGGGAATCATTTGTCCCGAGGTGACAGGTGCAGTCCAGGAGAGAGGGCTGAGGAGAAAGGCTAGGGAAAGTGTACATTTAAGAGACAGGGTAAAGCACAGGGAAGGCGGAGACATTCAGAAGGCCAGTGAGAAGGCCCAGGGAGAAGCAGGTGTTTGCCATATGATGGAAGGCGAGCGGAGTGGAGTTTGGGCAGATTTGGGGCAGATGGAGTTCTTGTGCAGAGTGAGGACTGAGAAGACATCCTTGGGTTGTGGAGCTCAGAAAGTATGATTGCTTATATCAGGGGTCAGCGAACATTTCCTGTGAAGGGCCAGGCAGCTAATATTTTTGGTTTTGAGGCCATACAGTGTCTCTCACAGCTCCTCAGCTCGGCCGTCTTCATGCAAAAGCAAACTAGACCATAGTAAATGAATGGGCCTGGCTATGTTCCAGTAAAACTTTATTTACAAAAACAGAGAATAGGCCAGATTTGGCCTTCAGGCCATAATTTCCCGGCCCAGATCTATATTATATCGAGTTTACCTAACCAGGACCAGAATATAGCCTTCCAAATATGATTATATGATTCATTAAGCTACTTTGAAAATATAAAAAAAACTTGGTCTAAATTGTGATAAAATTTCTTTCATAACAATTTCCAGCTATTTAGAGTTACTATACCCAGAGGCAGTGGGTTTTGGTGTATTGATGAATTCACTAAGGAGCCGATTCTGTTGAGTAATCTAGGCATGCCGTTATGTCCTGTGCCTATCATGGTGCATTTATTTCTGCATTTTCTAATTTGTGTCTTTTCCTGTCCTCTAATTCTAAGTTCAACCGAAGTGGTGGCCCCTGTTTTCTGCAGCCTTCCCCTTGCAAAGGCTCGTTTGCCAGGCTCCTGGGAGCTGTGGATTTCTCCTGGTGATTTCCTGGAGGCCCATTTGATTTCAGAACTTCTTCCGCCTTCAGTAGCAAAGGACAGTTTGGCCAACAAGGATGCTCTCCTCTTTCTTTCTGAACTTAGTGGCCTGTTTGAAAGTCTTCTTCTTCGACTGATTCTTTTCTTTCTTAGCATAAAGTCCAAACTTCATACCTGGCCTCCACAGCCTGTGTGGCCTGGTTCCTGCCAGCTTTTGTAGCTACGTCTTTTCTTTTTCTTGCCCTCACTCACTTGTCTCCAGCCGGGTTCTTATTGCCCTTGGGGTCCCGACAGTGCCGCATCCTCTGGCTGGAATATACTTCCCTGAACCCTTCCCATGCTCGGCCCTCCTTTGGGTTCAGCTCCGAGGTGTGTCCTGAATCGTCACTCTCTCCAGAGGAGATTCCCTCAGCATCTCTGTCACACTGCTTAGTTTATTTGTGCCGTAGCATCAGCCACAGTCTGTCATTATCTCAAGTGTCGGTGGTTGTATTTATTGGCTTGCTCCTTGCTGTAGACTGCAAAATCTCTGAGAGCAAGGACCTTGTCTTTCTTGTTCACGGCCATTGTCTCTGGCACCTAGAACTGTGCCTGATGGGGAGGAGGGGCTTAATCAGTATTTGTTTAGTGAACAAAAGCATTTTCTTTTCTTATGGTCAATACCAAGGATGGATCGTCAGCCTCCTGTGCTGGGTGTTCTCCGTTATGCCTACAAACCCACGCTCCTCCCTTTTCTGTTGGACTCTGTGCCCTGGGAGATTGAATTTGGGACTGTGTCAACTGGGCTTCCTGGCCCTCTGGCTTTTATTTGGGGCCAGACAACAGAAGTGCTGCTCCAAAACTGAGAAGGAGGAGAGTGAAGTCGGGGTGTTTGTCCCCCCAGCTCTCTCCTTGCAGAATACCCATGGGCTGCTACTTTCCCTCGGCTCAAAGTTTAGCCCCTTTCAAGCAGCCTCTCTGTCTGAGGCCTGTTCTCTCTCTCTCTCTCTCTCTCTCTCTCTCTCTCTCTTCCCTCAGGCCGAGAAGTCAGAGGGAAGGAGGAAAGAGCGGATGGGGTATTGATTCCCTTCTTGCCGGCTGGACGTTAGCAGGAGCCGTGTTCCCCTCAGGGCCACCACTCCCGACAGGTGGCCATCTTCAGTTCAGGGCCCCTGCTCTTCTGGCCACATCAGATGTGGGGGGTAGTAGGGGCCACTTCCGCAACCGACCCTGGGGTATTGGCCGTTCCTTGTTGATTTCTTGAAATCCTACCTACAACATTGTAAATAGTCCTTTTATTCAGTGACTTTTATTCTTAGTGACTCCATCTGACTTCGTCATGTTGTGGTCCTGGGCTGCCCACACTAATAATTTGCTCACCTGTGAAATGGGGAAGCTGACCGAGGGACGTTTCTGATGGATCTGCATTTCTGGTGTGATTACTGTTGGGTCACTTTTGAAGCCAGTGACTGATACTGACAAACGTGTTGCAATCTGAGTTGTGTAAAGGTGTGCCTTCTGCCCCCTTTGAAGTTCAGGGTGCCTGCCCTGTAAGCTGATAAAGTTTGGACTCTGCACATCTCATGTAACTTTCAAACCATCTTGATGAAATTTGTCCTAGGATTGAGATAGGGTTATTTTTGTGACTAGATATGTCTAGATTCCTGAGGTTCAAAACCTATGTTAGAAATGAAATAAAGAGGGAGGCTTTCATCCCTTAATTCTGTGAGTATTCTTTTTTCAGATCATCTTGTATTGAGCCACCCCAAATAAATTTCCCACAGGGAGGGAAATAGAACAACAGAAAATTGGGCTGACCTCCAAACCTTGTGCAGATTTCAGTGGTGAGCCTCAAACTTGCTTGATCAAGTCAGGTTGGGATGAGCTCCTAGGACATTGGCTCAAGGTTGAGATAGATCTTAAAAGTCATTAGTTCTCTCCCCCAGAAGATTGGTCAGTGCCACATAGAGAAATTTCTCCAAGTCTTCCAAACTCTGCTGAAACAGCTACGGGGACAGGGAACTAGAGCCAGGGAGTAAATGGATTTTTAAAAACATGGTCTGTTTGATCTTGCCTGGATTTAGGACATTGTTTCTGACAAAGAGTTTTTCTTTTTCGACAGAAAATGTGGGATTCAGTTTTGATCTATGACCTCCTTTTCCACCTCTGTCACCACCCAGGCTTGTGACCCTTCCTGGGCCTCAGGTTCCTAATAGCACACTTAGGGAGTTGTCTTGGAAACCATAGTAAATCCCTCCCATTTGCTGAGCACTGCAAGCTTCTCAGAGTGCTATGGGGACATCGCACTTGTGGGTGACACTGAGCTTATGGTCGCTTCTTCCTTTTTCTGACAGGGATGGAAGTATGACCTACTGGTAATACCAAGAGAATATTTGGGTTGCTCCTTTGGTGGCTGGGATAGCTATTCCACATGAGGTAGCGCGCCAGCCCTGGTCACCTCTCTGCTGTGCTAAGGCACACTGGAGTCATGGAGGGGATTTCAGGGATGCCTGATATGAGCCTCGTTAGCTTCTGCAGTGGCCAGGCAGACGGTCGGTCATCTGTCTACAAACTGCCAGATCGCCCCATACAGATGTGATCCTTTTCCCCTCTGATAGGGATCATGATGGGATAAAGACTGGGAAGTATGATTCTCTTGCCCCTCCCCTTCTTCCTGCCCTCTCTCCCTCCAGACCTTCCTTTGTTTCTGCATGTTGCTGGTGCTCATCACCTCTTTTCTGTTTCCTTGTGGTTTATAGATGATCATGATGCAGTCCTGAGGTTTAATGGGGCGCCCACAGCCAGTTTCCAACAAGATGTGGGCACGAAAACCACCATTCGCCTGATGAACTCTCAGGTAAAATTTCTTCTGTGCAGATCTGGAGTGAGAGAAGGACCACAGTGTGGGCTCTAATGTAGACCCCACCTGCTGGGAACACATCAGAGCCGCCAAGTTAATTAAGTCCCGTGACCTTCCTGAGTCCTGGAGTCCAAGACCCAACCTGGGGACGTGTTCATGATAAAGCCCCTGTGGCATTAGGTGGCATTAACAGAAGTGTCCAGTGCCCTGAGAAAGGAGAGTTCTGCTGTCCCCATAGCTGCCAGGTTTTATCTGGAATATTGCATGAGGGACAACATGGCAGAGAGTATCAGAGTGAGGAATGCTGGGGAAAGTAAGAGAAGCAATGAATGTGGGCGTGTTTGATAAGCTGTAAAATAGTATACAAGTATTGTAACACATCATCACTAGATGATGATGTGTTACATGGCGCTCGAATTCACATATTGCTTCATGAATTGCCCTAGAGAATTAGTTTCCTGAAGTATTTCCAGGTAGTATACGCTGGTTTCTCAGAACTAACGGGGACTTGAGGAATACTCTTGCCACAAAGTTCTGTTAATAGATTTTAATTAGTGGTAAAAAACAAACAAAAACAAAACTGGATGACACTATATCAAAACTAGCGTGAGAGGTCTGCAAACCCATTCACCTCACTCATGACCACCGACGTTTATTGTTTTCTGCATAAACACATAAACCTCAGGTGTTTTTATGTCAATGTGTAATCTCTGTACATTGCTTAGGACTCCACGGGCATGGAGCACATCCTGGGAGTGATCATAAGTGCCCTTTCAGTACTGTTCCAATACACCTGCATTTCTCCACTCCTCTGCCATAAGGCTCCACTTCTGTTTCTCTCAGATCTCTTCACTGCTTGCCCCTCAGGAACTCACCAGCTGGGCAGAAGCTGCTTCTTGCATGGCCCACTTTCCGTCTGAGGCCCACAGTCCTAGGAACCTTTGTATGAAGGAACTTGGATTGATCAACTTAACTTCTTTGCAAGTGGCTGCCATCTTGTTTTCTGTTCTTTCTCAAATCCCTTGATGATGATATCACTTTCTGTCATTGTTATATCCTCAGTGGACTCTATGCGCTTTCAATTCCTATTTATTATTCAACCTTATATTTTGGGCTTTTATATTACTTTTATTATAAACTATAAGAGGGCAGATTAAAAGAAATAGATTGGTCAGCAAGAGACTCTCTGGAGGACATGGCACCAGAGCTAGACTTTGAGATATGGGCGGGATTTGGAGAAATAGTAATAGGGAGGCATTCTAAGAAGTGGTATTGGCAGGACAGAGACACATGGGAAATGAGGGAGACATCCAAACAGGTATGGCCGGTGTGGGGGTGGGGATGGATTTGCGTTGCCCTATAGAGGGAGATGAGGCTGGAGCTTCGTGGCTGCTTGGACTCTGGCAAGTCTAGAAAATCAGGCAGAGGAGGTGGGATGAGCTTTCCCTTCTTTCTCCTTTTCCTTTTCGTGCCCCAGAGAAATCCTGGAGCTGGAGAGCACCTCAAGAAGTGCTACAGTGTAACCTCTACTTCTGTGGTACCTGAATCCACCTTTGCCTCCCTCCCTCCAACCCTTTCACAAATATGGACAGGACCGAGTAGAATGTGGTAGTCAGTACACAGATCTGCAGTCAGCCTGCCTAGGGTTGAAACCCTGGCTCTGCCTCTTAATAGCTAAATGATCTTGCGTCAGTTACTTATGCCTCCATTTGTTCATGTGCGGAGAGGGGAGAATAGCAGTACCTTCTCCACAGCACCAGGCTGTTAGGAGGAATGAGCGAGAAGACCATGCAGAGCAGCTAGAACCCGGCACGTACGTCAGTGGAGGATAGCTACTCTTACGTTCATGTGGCCCGACACTGAGATGGGTTTGGGGGATACAGGGGGGAGCCCGGCAGGCTGGGCCCCTTCGTGGGCCACCGCCTATGGCTACAATCAATCCTCACGCAGAGAGATAGACAGTTGCAACGGAGAACTACAAAGGACAGGATCCAGGTGCTCCCAGAGCCCATATCAGGGACGTCAGGAGCCTTGAGGAGATGAGACAGCCGTGTAGGCGTGGAGGATGAGAAGGGCTAGGGTCTCTCCTGAAGAGACAACAGCCTAGGTGAGGCCACGTGTGGGAGGGGGCAGGCCAGGGCCCCGGGGGCAGGGGGGTGCATGGGGGGGGGTTGTGGTGAACACAGAGGCTGAAGGTAAGGGGGAGCCACGTCCTGGCGCCATGGTCAGGAGATATTCTCTGTGGCACGACCAGACTTGCACTCTGCAAACGTTCCTGGCATCCGCCCTGTGGCCCATGGAGAGACACAGTTAGGAGGCTCTTGCATGGAAAGACTGGCAGTTGCTGCAGACGAGAAATGAGGGTGAATGTGAGAACGGACTGCATTTGAGAGCTATTTGGCATGTGTGGTCCAGAGGCGTTCGCGGGGCTGCGGCGAGGGGTGAAGGGAGAGGGGCCGCCGGTGCTACTGGGTTGCTGGCTCGTGTGGCTGGCCGGCAGGAGTCCCTGGGATTGCAAGTGCTTGAAGACGTTTTGGCTTGTGTGGGCTAGGGTCAGACGGAGGGCGGGATAAAAACTGTGGTTCTGGATAGCGTTGATCTGAGCTGCCCTGTGGATACCCGTGAAGAAATGTCAAGTAGGCAGCTGTACAGAGGGGGCTGGAGTTCCGTGGAGAGCTCTGGGCTGGAGGGCAGAATTTGCCAGTCATCTGTATCTGTGAGGCAATGAGATGGCGGGGCCGAATGAGAGCATGAGGGACAGCGTGTAGACAGAAATTCTACGCAGGGGCTTTGGGTAACCAACACAGGAAGAGGGGGGTAGTCAGCACCGAGGTGAGGCCGAAAAGCACTGTTCTCTCTTCGGCAAGAGGGAGGCCACCCGTGACCTTCAGCAGCAGCTGCCTGGGAGAGCTGCGAAGCCAGAAGCCACACCGGGGCGTCGGGTCAAGAGTGCCTGGGGAAGTCCAGTGCAGAGAGTTCTTTCAAGAAGGCCAGCTCTGAAGGGCAGAAGAGCAGTAGGGCAAGAGCCATAGAGAGTCGAGGGTTCCAGGGCCCGTTTCTGTTCTTTTCATTTTTTTTAGATTGGAGAGAATTGAGTATGTTTAAAAGTCAGTGGGAAGACAGTCACAAGAGGGCACATACTGTATGGGGGTACTTACCTGAGGTTCCTGGAGGAGTCCGATTCGCGGACAGAAAAGTCGAACAGTGGTTTCTGGGGCCTGGGGGTGGTGAGGAATTATCATTTAATGGATAGAGAGTTCCAGTTTGGGTAGATGAAGAAGTTCTGGACATGTATGGGTATGGTGGTGATGGTTGTATAACAGCATGAATGTACTTAATGCCACTGAGCTGTACACTTCAAAATGGTGGATATGGTACATTTTCTGTTATGCGTGTTTTACCACCATAACATTTTTTTAAAGTCAATGAGGAGAAACCAGTCGATAGAGGGAGAAACTGAATATACTGAAGAGAAGGGACAATAAGTAAGTGATGGGGAGGAGGGATTGATCCAAAGCCCCACCAAGGATCAAGCCCCACGGGAGGGAGTCAGAAGGGAGGAAGACTAGGAAAGGTGTGCTGGAGGCCGTTTGTAGTGGAAGGATGAAAGGGCTGCTATTTTCTCCGCAGAGTAGGAGGTAGAGAAAGGGAGGCTTTTTGTCAGGAGGCTGAGGGGAAGAGGGGTTTCTGTAGAGGAGGTTTGAGCAAAGAAGGCCTGGCGTGAGGGGAGCAGAGGAAGGAGCCAGCCAGAGGAACGGAGCAGGATTTCCAGGCCGTGCGGACCACTTTGGGGCTGGAGAGCGTGACTTCAGAAAGAATGGGTATGACCTCCAGATTGGTAGGTGGCAGCAATCGAGAAGAGGGAGCATGGAGGAGCCCTAAAAAATCTCTTGGCTTTGGGAGGCTACCCCCTTCTTAGGCATCTCTTCCAGGTGGTGAGTGAAGAGGTAAATCTCCATCCTGCAAAGATTTCATTTAAGGCCATGTAGGTTTGCCTAAGAAGCTCTCTTCCAGGTTGGGGAGAGAAAGCCCACGTCCCGTGCATGGCAACAGGGTGTCCTGATTGGACTTCAACCGGGACATTCTCAGATCACTCCCTGGGGCTTATCCTGAGACCATAGCTGGTGCCACTTGTTCAATACTTCTTCTATCTGAGGCCCATACGTATCTTATCTCATGGGACCTCTAGGACAATGCTGTGAGGTGTGATTACCAACCACCATTTTCTGTGAGGACACCAAGGTTCAAAGAGTCTGAGTGACTTGCTCAGGGGAGGGCAGAAAGGACAAAGGAGAGGTGGGATTTGGATGGAGGTTGGTTTGCCAATTTTCTGGAAGAGTTTCTATAGAATTGGTATTTCTCTTTTTCTGAATGTTTGGTAGAGTTGCCAGTAAAGCCTTCTAGGCCTATAATTTACCTTGTGGGAAGTTTTTTAGCTACAAATTCAATTTCTTTAATAGATTTAGGGCTGTTCGTGTTACCTGTTCCTTTCTGACCGAGCTTTGGAAATTTGTGTCCTTCAAGGAATTTGTTCATTTCTTCTAAGTCATTGAATTTATTGGCATACCTTGTTCATAATACTCCCTCATTATCTTTTTCTACAAGATTTACTTATTTCCCTCATTATCCTTTTAATGTCTGTAGAATCTGACGTGATGTCTGATGTGATAGGACATCCTTTGTGGTGATTCAAGCAGTACTGGAATTCACAGAGCTTAAAAGGACTTTGAAGATCAACAAGCCATGAATTCATTCCAGAAGTTCTTATTTAATCACCTGCCCTGTGCCAGCCTCTATGTAGGGAGCTGGAATTGAGCAGCCCACAAGAGCAGTAAAACAGAGACAGACATGCTCCCTGCCCTTGTGGAGCCCAGGGTCTCCTCGGGTCATTTCATTTTCCAAGCGACACAACCCAGGCCTGGGAAGAGAAGATGGCCCACACAATGCCCAGAGGGTCATGGCAGGCCCAGGGCAGGACGAAGGCCTCCTCACAGCTG